TCCTGGCCACGAGGGCACAGTGCTGGCTCCTAGCCTGATGACTTCCGTAAAAGGTTAAATAACTAATTCAATGCTGTAACATTAGCTAATTATAAAAATCTATCTCTCCATATAAAAGCTGTTTATCAAAAATGTTTTTTATTTGCATATTAATTGGCATACAGGTGGTTTAACTGTTTTCTATCCACTGTTACTTCTATATCTATTGAGAATGGCTCCTTCGTGAAGCTTAAAAGCCAGGTTCTAACCCTGCATCTTTACCTTAAACTGCAGGAAACATCTTTTTTAAACTTCTATGTTTTCTTCCAGGACTCGGCCAATTTTCGTTCTGCATAGGACCAAGAGAGTCCTGCTCTGCAGGCACTCTCCATATCCCAAACACTATAAACTTTTCTACCACTCTTGGTTTGTACAATCCTGCTGTCACCACAATGGAAATGACCACTCTATCCTGATGGCCATGGTAGCCTTCAAACACATACCAAACCCAGGAGCAACTACCTAAAACAAAGTATCGTAGATCCTAATATCCCTTAAACTACCTGTTTGTGAACAAACTACCCAGTAAACAATGTATATATGGCAATTTTTTCTTAAATCCAGAGAGTTAATAATATTACAGACCAACTTTATTAATGGCTTTTACATTATAAAAGTGTGAATAATTTAGTTAATTATATGGATGCACTTATAAATGGTATTATGACACACCATGGAGTTCATCAGAAGCATTTCCATTACCAAAGTCACTTCTGTATGCCACGATGTGCATTGGCTTCCTAATAATGTGCCAATACTGGATTTAGATCCACATCAGATGTCCAAGCTGTCTAGTCACTCTGATTTGTGGAAGAGCAGTTGTTAAGAATTTAAACAGGCTGTGAACCTGTCACAGCTAAATCACAGAAAATAAAATAAAACAATCTGGAAATTTCTTAAGATCCACCATCAAACAGTCCTCCATGCAGGCAAACTATCAAGTGTTAGGGTGAGCTTTGGATGTGTAGTGGGAAGGGGGGGGATATGGTTATCCATATTTTTCACCATGACAGCTGCTAAATAAGTGAAAGAGGGTAAGTCTGAATGGGGAAAGGAGGAGAAGAAAAAAAAAAAAAAAAAAAAAGCAAGCATTTTTGACATTGTAAGTTAAAAGCTCAGAAAAGATTAAATCTCTGTTCTGTTCAAAGAGGCTTGAAAATCTTAAACTTTAAAATTATAAATATTGTCTATTTACTTGTTTCTGCTGTAACCCTACTACTGTTCCTTTTCACTTCAAACTACTCATTTAGGCTTATTTTACTTATTCAAAAATGTTATCACTCACTGCCATCTAGTGTTAATGTATAGATTGTCAGGAACTTAAAATTACTTTTCTGGCTTTAAGAATTAAAAAATTACATTTTTCAAGTTTAGTCTTATCCTGAGAACCTGGAATTTCCTGTTTCCACTGACAAAGGGAGCTGCAGATGCACAGTAGCTCAGAAAATCCAATTTGCTCACAGGAATAGATGTGAGTTAAGAGGTCACAATGCAACTTCAATGACTACAGTAACCTTAAATTTTATTTTCTTGATTCTGACCCTGCTTATTGGTTCTCTCCCTGTTTCACTGTGTCACACCAGACTTGGTCCTGAAGCATAACCCACAGCTGCTCCTCCTGCAGCCTGCGAGGCAGGATGCAGTGTACTTTGCCACACACATTCCTCTCTACTTGTCAAGAGAAAACCGGAGACACTGTTACACTCCACTATCTATGCAACACATTTCTTTCCACCTCGGTATGCAAGAGTGACAGTACACCAGATCTCAACAGTTAGAATGTGATCCAGAGGGAGACTTAAGGGTAGGGCCTCTGGGGTACCCAGGAGTACATTTGTGGACACAGTCACACACCTGTGCCCCCAGTTTGCTGTTTGAATGGAGTATCCAAGTTTTCTGCCTCAAACTATTACGTAACTAAACTATTACAGTCACACTTAAATGCAAAATGCCTATGCAGGTTCTGGGAAGCAAACTCAGAAGAGAACTTTAATTTCAGCAGCAAACATCTTCAGCTACAACTGGTATGGATTTATGCCACAGTATTCAAAGGTATCAATAAATCTTGCTAGTGAAGAGAAACAAACTCCAAATGCTTCCTGCATCTCTACAGATGCCATCTACCATTTGATATTAAGCAACTGTTCACCTGAGTAAGTGTAGCAGAATAGGTAAAACCAGTGACAACCTCCTCCTTTCTCTACTTTACCAGGCAAGGATTTAAAGTCTCGAAGCTGGGATAAAGCAGTTGGGTGAGAAAGCATTCTCCCTCCTGAACAACGTGTCATCCATGGCAATTTCAAGGCACAAGTCTCAATAATTTAAAGTGCATCTTCATGTGTTTCCTGAAGATTGGACAAGTTCTGTACTGTGTGAATTATCTTGTTGTGGCTACCTTTTAAATAAACAGGAATAACAGTTTTTCTTTATGTGAAGAATTAATGTATATGAAGTTCTTAAAGAAAATGTCTGAATTCAAAAGCAGACCATAGAGCATTACAACCACATATAGTCATAATTAGTTTATTAGGACTGTTTCTGAAATAAATATACTCAGGTACTTAAACACAGTTTAATTCATGTTTATTTCCACATTTGGTATATTACTGTATATTACATAATGCACTTAATAGCCAGTAAATAAATAATAAAACCAAAGTGCAGATTAAAGCAGCAAGGTCAGTTTTTAGGTTATCAGGAAGGCCAAAATCACATTACCAGTGTAAGGACAGCAAGTTGTAAATGACTAATGTTTACTGTGTCATTCTATCATTGCTATATGCATGCTAGTACAAATGATCCTTTTGAGAACTGCTTATAGTTATCTACAAAATAAAACAGTCCTTCCCTTATGTTACATTTTCTTTTTATTTCTTACCTTTCAGGCCTGATCCTGCAGTCCTTACTCAGCAAACTTCCAACACAACCTGTCAGGTTAGTTTCTTACTTTTTCTTTAATCTGCATAAAGCCCATTGGCTCTCTCAAAACATCTGAATACTAAATGATTAGAGTTTGAATTTCTAAAAATTTGGAAATTCTAAAAATATTCATAACAGAAAATAATGTAATTCAGTACAGACCTAAGGGTATGAAGGCCAAATCCAGGAACAGATCTAGCTAGAAGCCTTGGGAACTGTCAGGACAGCAAGGTTGGCATCTGGTGAATTAGGCACTTTCCTGATTAGCCAGCCACTTTTGGGATCACAGTTTTGGATTTAGACATCTTCAGTCTCCTGAAATACTGTTTTGAGCACCTGCATCCTCTTTTCGGATCTGGCCTTTTTTTGTACTTGAATACATGATGTATCACATTAACATTATGCACAGACAATAAGAGAAGTGACCCTAAAGTAAAACAAAATCATAATACAACATGATATCATAGCCATGTCTAGAAGAAGCTATTGTTCTTTTCTGTGCTTGGGTTAGACACATTTGTTTTAACAGCTTTTAACACTGTATCCCATTTACTATTCTTGTGCTCTAACTGCCTTTTCCTAAACTTGTGCTGGAATAAATCATTGCTGTCTTCATCCTCAGCCTCTGACACTATCTCCATTTTTTGGATAATCAATTTAATGAGGTCATGTTGCTTTTCCAACAGTGTTGATATATCTTTGAGCCTACAAAAACAAAACAGAAAAATATATGCATACAGCAGGCTTTGTCATTTGGTTTCAAAGAACATGGTACTCCTTAAAACTGCAGATGTAAAAGACCTACCAGTCCTCAAATTCACCCTTACGCTAACAAAGAATATTATCTGGAGTATATTTAATTTCTCAAGCTGGAGTACTTCTCCAGGTTTCAGGAAATAGGATTGAAGAACAAATTCCTGGTTCTTGAGAAAAGGAACTTACTATATACTTCAGGTAAAAGCAACTTCACTCACAAAATGAAATTTGGAAGAGTTCTATGAACAGTTTTTCCTATTGACTGAAATAGTCTGGCAAGGAAAACAGGGCCAAATTTTCAATGGCAATTAAGCATCCACAAACATTTAGTGAACTACACATCTGCTTTGACAGCATGAGAGATACTGATGAGGCACTTACTGATCTCTTTTAAAGTGCTATCCAAAGTGCAATTGATACAAATAAAGAGTTAACATCAGTTACCATCATGCATACAGCACACAATATCTGTTATCGTTTAAGAAACAATGAAAGAAATGGGAATTGTGTCTAGAAACTGTCTTCATAAAACTACCCAAAAGGCTTTTTGAAAATCTACTTTTCATAACATCTAGACTCACAAAATTACAGCATGAAACATACATTGAGACTGAAAAGGTTCTCTGTGAAGAACAGTTTGGGGCTTTTTTAGATGTAGTTGCAGCTGCCACCTCCCTGCCCCCTACCCCCCAAGAATTAAAATAGTGCAGCAATTAACTAACATTAATACCAAGCAAAAAAAAAAAAAAAAAAAAAAATTACTCCAAATGATTAAAAAAAAGGTATACACTCAGCACTGATTGCCACTAGCTTCAGTAGGAACTGAATTCTGTTTTTAACTCTTACAATAACATACTGGCAACAGAGTAAAGCAAAGTTTTCAGCCAATATTTTTACAGCAGTAAATATAACTTTCCATAGCAAAATGGCTACAAGTTATTGTATTCAAAATAATTTCATAAGTTTATAAAATTACAGTTTTCTTCCCTTTCTATAGGGAAAAAAAAGTATGTTCTATGCTGTTTCCTACTATATTGACGTAGTATGGATTTGAAGAAAGACTTGTTAAATTCCATAGTTTTCTACATCTGTAGGGTGTATTTTTACCCCTTTAACTCTTGCTGAGTCCATCATGCAAAAAAATACTTAATCAGAATCTGTGCAGGGAAATAAAAATTTAGTAGATTAAAAAAATGAGAAAGAAAAAAAAGACAGAAAAAAGATAGAAAAAAGAGCAGGGGGGAGTGAGATACAGTGAGAAAGAATAGATTTTCCTTGCTGTACATTCACAGAAGGCTTTTCTGAAACCTTTCATACAGATATATTGGTAAGATGAGTAAGAAAAGTAAGTACAGAGCATTCCTTCCAAGGCTTTGGGAAACAGATGATTTTTTCAAAGGAGAATCAGGACACCAATCCATTTTTGGGGAAACAATAAGAAGCAGATTTACCGTCAGACCAGTGGAAAGTCAGTTACAGATTGTATATATTTGCAAACCAATTGGAATTACAACAATTGTGAGTTTAAAATAACTCTTTAAAACCTCCATACACAAACCTCTAATTCTGAAATTAAAATGCATTTTCCCCATTACTTCACTTTAATGAGCAAACAAGCCTGTCCTCTTTCTCTGCCATGGGTTAAAAGTATTTCTCTACCACACAAGTATTTTGAAGGTAAACACATTACAGAATATAAAATACTAAGTTACCATAGTGAGGGAGCTTACATAAGGACAACAGATACGTTGAATTCTACTTTTTAAAGTACTATACGGAGCTTTAAACACTGTTTAAAATAGGAGTATATTTGTAATATTGGTTTGACTTATTTTTACAGCAATAAAATAACACAACCAATACCTGTATTTCTGCTTCAGAACTTCCAGTTCTAATGTTGTATCAGTGCTCTGTGCATCTGTAGTAGAGTCCTCACATCCAAAGCAATACTGGAACACGCTCTAAACAAAACATGGAACCAAACTGAAATCAGATATTACAGTCTGACAATAGATTAAAAATCCCAAGTAAGTGAATGGTAACAGTCTCCACACAGTGTTAAAGTTCAAAGAAGTTTTTTGTTACGAAGTTAATTTTTGTATAGTAAACATTTGTTTTGCAAAATTTGTTTGAACAGAAAATTCAATCTACCAACAAGAGCTGAAATGAAAAGTAAACACATAAAAGAAGAAATGCCAAAAGGGAGTAATTGCATTTTCTTCCTGAATAACTTACGTAGCTTGTCTTGCTTAGTAAAGTCATAGATCACTGACAATTCAAACACTAATTATATTTGAATAAGTTAGACTGCATTCAAACCAATTTATCCTTTTCACTGAAGACAGTCAAAGTCTAATCACAATTCCACTGATGTCAGTTAATGATCAAGTCTTACTAATGCAATGTTCTTACTAATCTGTGTACAAAGTAAGTCTATCATATCCCATTTTAGTAAGAAAACCATAGTCTAAGAGAGTTACCATCTTACCATAAATCCACAGTATCTCGGCCTGTTGGGATATACAGTGATTGATTCCTGGTCCACCCGACTTAAGAACCAAAATGGTAGCTTCTTCTCTAAGTTGGTGTGAAGATTAACCTATACATAGTTTTGTATTTAGAATAATATATATTCTCTTAAGATAAAGACATATTATCATGTGAAAATAACCATAAGGTCATTATATTCAAATCACTATTACTAGATGTCAAGCCTCGGAGGATATCTACGTTGCAAAATATGGTATAATATTTAAACAGTCCAGCCCAGACACTAAAACCATCTAGTCATAGCAGTATTGTGTTTTTTAGCAGAATTAATTATTCCACATAGATGCACACTCTCATAACTAAACGCTTCCAAAATTGAATAAGCTCTTGTGTAATGACTTGAATAGCTCCTTAGTACACTGCGGTTTGCAGTATAGAATTACAGGGCAGAAATGTTCAAAAGACAGAATACCTATAGTAGCCAAGGGCTTTAAGACCAAATAATAATGGGAAGGAGAGTGATCTTGCTCTCTTTAATTGTGCAGTATCCTTTTACTAGATTATAACAGAGTCAGTATAAATTAAGATGCCAGTGGAATGCCTGTGAGAAAACAAGTTTTGCTTTGGGTAGAAACAAGTATGTTATATGTGAGTGCCTTTTCAGGTGATGCTACCTTTCCAGTCATTCTCAAATTGCTATAGAAATTCTGAGCATATGTATCTAGATCAACAGGATGTACAACATACGTCTATCGCAGACAACTAAAATCTTATCAAACATACAGAATGTTACATGTTTAATAAAAATGTTGTAGTACTGTCTGAATTTGCAAGACAACATCCTTCCTGAGCACTGAAGAAATACCTAAACAGCTGAAAAGCATTAACCACTGTAAGAACTGCCCTTATACCTCTGATTTAGTAATTTGTATCTCTAGCAAAAGAAATATCTCTTGGAAGGAAGTGTTACTCTAAGAGAGAATTCTTCAAGTATGCTTCAACTAAGCAAGTATAGCACACAATTTTAAGTTACACGACTACTAGAAGTTATTTCTGAGTTGTTCTTGTTCTTGGGTATTCTGTCTGTGCACACCTCTCTTCTTTATGCTCAGTCACTAGGTAGGTTCTGAAACTTTTTAGAAAAAGCAGAGCCAGCAGGGAACATAGGCAAAACCACTCCTGGCATCAATTTTATGAATGGTCAGTTCCTCTCACAATACAGACTTTGAACAGAATTTCAAGGAAATATGTAGACAGTTTCTAAGAACATGTTAGTGAGATGTAATCTTCTATATTTAACAGGTGTAAACTGTGTGTATTTCCACTTGCGAAAGTAAAGCTTGATATACAGTTCACAAGGAAAAAAGCTTTTGAAAACCATGTACCAAATTTATGAATTCTTAAAATGAAAATTTTATGAATTTGTGCTATTGCCTAAGCCCTAGTACGTAAGCCATAAGGACTATATTTGCAAAAGCTACTCTGAAAATACCTAAGACGTATACAGTTTTCAAAAGCATATAGGTTACTAAACATTTCTGATTTCAACAGAAATTCCATTAGGTGTCTTTATGCATCTTAAGGTAACCAAAACCATTTAGAAATGTGATGTTAAGCTCCTTAGTTATACCTGGTATCTACTCAGAACACAGACTAGCATGAACTTTGAGTATACTCCAATAAATTTGGGTGTACTTTGATTTCTGTGTACCTAAACCTTCTTTCCACTGCATCAATTCTCTTTTTAAAAAGCAACTCTCAAATGTCAAACATTTACTCATTTTCAGATTCTGTTGTTGGAATAACTCATTGAACTGACTGTTCAGAAATTCCTTAAAAATGCATATACATTTCCTTGATGATGACTCACGTGACTGAAAATTATTCAGAATAGGACACCCATGTTCCCAAGTTGCTTTATCAAGACGCTAAGAAGTTAGTTAGGGATGTTGATGCTAAATCAGCTAATTATCTGAATGGTGTTCTAACAACGATATCTACTTGATATAGTTGGTGTTTCTATAGTATGCCACATACCTGCATTGCAATCCTTTTGAGTGCAGCATATTTTTGTACTTCAGCTATGTCCCCAACAGCCAAACCAATCTAAAAATACCAGGAAAGATTTCATTATCTTTTTTTTTTCCCCATAGTCTGTGATTTCGATTGTATTTCTTATTCACATTAAAAAAAAAAAAATTACTCTAAAGTTAAATTCGTTTCATTTCACTTGAATTTGGAAACATATCCTTTTTGTGCATATTTGACAAATATATATCAAGAAATGTAGTAAGCTTTTTTAATGCCTACTATCTGTCTATCAGTAAAGCACTAAAGAGCTATTTCAGATTTGCTGAGAATAATATCCGTTCTTTTTGATTCTTCATTACTGCTGTTATGTAAAAAAAAACTTGTTGACCAAGTGATCCATGAAAAGGATCATGGCAGCATGTTGATTTCATGATCCATGAAAAGGATCATGGCAGCAACAAATAACTTTAAAAAGCTGAATTGTTTGATTTTCATTGCTCAGCTCATATAAAAAGCTGATTTTCCAAAAGAAATTGATGGCTGAACATAGATGAATATGTATGAGATATTTTCCCCCTTTCTCACCATTACCAGCTTTTCTAATTCTTTTTGTTCAGGTCAGGCTCATTAGTTAGTTTTAACACTACTGTTGAATGCTGTTTGGTGTGTGATGAAGATACGGGTTTTGCCTTTTTTAAAACAAATATTGTTAGTGCTAGGTTATGGTACAGCAAGGTTGAACTATTAAAACTATGTATAGTCTAGGAGGAATGCATTTATCAAAGTACTTCTTAAAATTCCCCAATTTTTTTTTAATCAAGACCTTATAATAATACATTGCCGCTTCAATTCAAATTCCATCACAAGTTACTACCTAAAGTATACAAGATAACCTTGCAAGAGGTAACTGTGGGAAAATCCTCAGGACAGCAAACTGGAAGGAAAACGAGTCCAGGGAAAGGCAACTTTTTAATACATTACTGAAAATATCAATTTAAAAAATAATGAATTAATGTAATGAATCAGAAAGCAATTCTATATGCTAAAACTGTGTATAAACCTGTGCTTAACCACTTTTGTATATTAATAAATAACTTACTAGCAAGTTCATAAGAAGGATTGGAATAAGCAAGGTAAATATAATGAGAACTGTATAACTCAGGAATGGATATGGCAATTCGTTGCTTAGTAATGGATCGAGGAATGCATCATGGTAATTAATGTCTCCCAGCATCATTGCAAACGTCTTCATTACAGAAAGCAGAGGTGTGCTATAAGTTTGCTGCAAAAAGAAGAAATACCAAAAATCAAGAAAAACCCTGAACCGATGAAATTGTAAATAACCTCTTGAGATTCTTTAGTAAAAGTAATATTTATAAGGATAAAAATAAACTATGCCATTCAACTAACCTGTGAACCCAAAAGGACGAAGAAACTCAGTCCAAAGGCCAGTATCAGGAAAAAGAACACGACAGCAATCCGAATCAAGGTCCTCAAAATTTCCCAGAACATTACAACATAGATGCCATAGTTTTCAAATCTAGGCAACAAGTAAACAGAAAAGATATGCAAAATTAAATACTTAAGTTAGAGTCCTTTACAGTTATGTGTGTAAGGCAAGAAGTAATCCCGATTTTCATGTGTGAAGAGACGTTTTGCCTCTCTGAGACATTCTGAGATGGTACAAACATGTTGTCCTTTCATATCCAAAATAATGCAAGTGGTCTCATTTACAGCAAGCCTAAACTACATAATCTTATATTTTAATGCACTAGAGTAGTCCTTCTTCAAGATATTATTTTTCATGTACAAATTTTACTTTCTCCACATCCACAGGCAGTACAACATTTTACCACTGCTGCACCTGGAATAATAACATCAGGAAATGGTCTAATTTTTTGCTGCTTTTTGAAGCAAATTAGCAACCAGAACAAAGGACATCTAGCACCAGGATCCACCTAGCAGCCACATGCCTGGTTTTAAAAGATTTTGCTTTTTATGACACTACAAAGTATGGAAAACAAGCAAACAAAAAGAAATACATTGCTCAGGAAGAGAAGGGGAGTGGCACAGTTTTAAGACATCTGTGTTTCCACCAACAGTCTGTTATTTGGCAAGCCTTTCCCATCCTTGGCTTAAACAAAAAACTAGATCTCAGAACATGAGTTGTCATAAAGCAGATTAAGCTACTTTTCACCCTAAACCTCAACTTGGGAATTGATGTCCTCTGCCAGATTCAGGATCCAGATGACTGTTTTATGCTACAAAAGTAGCAACTGAAAGAATCCCTCCACAGGATTTTCCCCCTGAAATATTATGTGCAATGCTGAAAATATCAAGCTGGAAGTAAAGTAAACCTGATCTTCTCCTGTTTATTAGGCATTTATTAGGCAAATCTCCATTGAAGTAGATGGAACTACAAGTTGCTTTGAGAAGAAATGGCTTAAATGAGTTAGAAAAAAATAGTTCTACTGCTATACAAATTAAAAATATTCAGGACAGGGAAGCATTTCATCTACCAGAAGAAGGAAGGTTGGACAATCACGAATTTGCTTTATACTGTTTATATCAAACCCCAGTTTTGCCCACTGCACACAGCAGAGAAGAGAGGACAAACCAATTCATTAGTCATCTAAGGTCTGACACATGTAGGACAAAGTTTGTCAGCAGTGGCACTACCATAAATATACTCTCTCTTTATGACATTAACTCTGTTTACAAACCTTGTCCTTACACACCCCAACTACAGTAAAATGATTCTGAAATTAATCAGCAAGTGCCATCTTTGTCTGCCAGACCTCACAGGGGTGATTACTGCATATATACAATAAGAATCAGAAGACCACGTATGCAGTGTTATCACATACTGTCATCCTTATTTTCTGAACAGCTCCAAATCCCCACTTTTTTGCTGATCAGCCACACCTCATCTTTGCACAAGGCAGTCCTGCTCAGGCACAAACATGTTTAATTTATTAGTCTTAAACACTACAACCACACTATTTTTTCCTCCACACAGCTCTCCTGCAGTCCATAACTCTTGGACACTATTGTACCAGTGACAGCATTAAGATCATTAATGGCAATAAACAGACCTAATATCACCTACAGAAATAATTTCATCCATTATGATTCTTTTACAGAACTCTATGGTGTAGAAAAGTGGGGTGTGCCATTTAATCTGTACAATAA